CTATTCCTTTAACAGATTCTCTACGGCTGACCCATCCAGCACAGTAACACCATGGTCAGTGACCCAACATTTGGTCACTTTGGCAGAGTGGCTTCATACCCAGTCTGGAAAATGAAATCACCCTATAAATAAAGCTGGTCAGCAGAAGCAAGCAGAGGAGAACTCTAAACTGTCCTGGTAGATGACTGGACTTAAGAAACCCAGTGGACCAGAACCAAGCGATGACTTCCATCTCCAAACCTTTACTGACTGCAGAAACTTGACTGGACTTTAAGCAATGTTGATTCTGGGTCTTTTCACTCCTCACCCATTTCCAAATCAAATGCAAACTTTACTTTTATTCGAACTTGGACTTTGTCCACTGAGCAACAGCATATCTTGCAAAATTCTTAATAAAACAGTATTTTTGTTATTGCTACAGATGCAACAGTGGTCATAGTTCCCTTTATACGAACACATGCTTTGATTGCTCAACAGTCATCTTGTCCGACCACACTTTTTCCTTCCACAAAATTTTTCAATGATGAGTCTTGAATGCATCACTATATAAAAGCCATCTTCTTTAACGAGAACTTTTTAGGGTTTATCCTTTCTGTAAAGAGTGCTAAAGAGTTTTTTTTCCTGTTAAAAGGGAGTTTTTACTCTCCACTGTCGCTACAAGCATGCTTACTGTGAGGGATTGCCTTCAAGTCAATGAGACAAGAAGAGAGGGACAAAACCTAGAACAAATAATGTATGTCTATTCTATTAACATTTCTCTATCTGTATAATGGGTCTGTTTTATGTGTTGTCTTCTCAATTAAGGGGCCCCCTGCCTGTATTTGCCTAGGGCCCCAAATCTCCTAAATCTGCCCCTGATGTCAATTACAACCAGCTAAAGAGCTGTAAAGTAAGCAGTCTTCTTTTATTGTTTCATTAATGTTTTTCTTCAATTTGACCCGCTGTTATTTCAGTTTCCATTAACTGCAAAGCAGTGTTATAAAAATTAGGTTATATTAATAGTTAAATGAATTAACAAACAGTTATTAACTGTTTGTTAATTCACTTCATAGCAAATCTGCTATTTTTTTCTGTAGAAATTCTGAACCAAAAATTAACACAATAAGTTTAAATCACTGTAAATAAGAAGATATGTCAAACCTCTCCGTTTAGTATTATTCTGAAATATTTTCAACCAGTTACTCAATTGTGGTGCATTCCGGATACTGTTAGTAAAATAAATTTATACTCAACTTTTTCGTATAAGCAGCTATCTTTATTTTTGTATTTATTAACTATAGATTTTGTTTTTCTTTCATTTTATCTGGAGCTCGTGAGGGTGGATCCACCAGCCTCTCACCGTTAGCTTATCCAGGCGTTAAGTTTCTAACAGTTTAACTAAACGCAGCGGCTAAACTAACCTGGATTTGCTGATAATCTTTCTCCAAATCGTCCCATTCCCGAAGACACTCGGATAAATCATTTGGACTGAACAACATTTCTGCTCCGAGCTGCAGAACCTCTAGGAATGGTGAAATAAACGAGCGTCAGCGCTGAGCAACAGTTCATCACAGCCTCGTCTACATATGAACGTCACTTCCTCCAGACCCCTTCAGATTAAAAGTCTCAGTTTAAAGATAATCGTTATAAAAGGCAAAGTTTAGAAAATTAGCTTTTTAGAATACGCATAACGGCTTCAACAATGGTTAAAATCTTCTGTATTAGCTTAATAACATATTTTTTCTGTTTTTTTAGGCGCCTAATGGGATTTTAATTTGTATGAGTATATCCGGTATGCCGTAACTTCTGTTCTTCTACTAATTTTAAGCAACTCTTCTTTTCTTATTCCTCCAATCAAATCGCCGTCTCGTGATGTTGCGTCTGTATGGTTCTCATCATAGATATCTATGGTTCTCATCCCCCATAAGAACTATACGTCCGCGCGTCCACCATATTGTGAGAGGCAAGATCGCCTCAAAGTGCTAAAGTGGGCCGTTTACAGCACATGCCTTTTAGGCAAGGCAAGGCAAATTTATTTGTATAGCACAATTCAGTTCAAAGACAATTTAAAGTGCTTTACATGATTAAAATATAGGAAAATAAAAGAGAATCAAAGCAAGTAGGGAAAAAAAATCAAATAAAAAATGCAGAAACAAAAAAAGAACATTAAAGCCAATTAATTTCAAGGGGTACATGATAATGTTTTATTTCTTTAAAGTAAAATAAAATAGGGCTGTGATCTGTTTTGCTTTGTGAGGACCCAGCTGAAGAATTAAACGAGCTTTTATCAACCAAAAATGAAGTTTTTCAGCTGTGACACACACCAAACCGAGGCAGAGGAACATCCTGGAAGTAATGAACAGCCTAGCATCAGCTGATCTTCTCACTGAGCTATCAGGGCTCATCAAAGCAGCTCAGGTTTCTTGATGAAAACATAATAAAGTCAGTCTGACTATAATTTTTGTTCTGTAATTATTGCCCAATTCATCAAGTTGATATCTGAGCTCCAGTTTCATAAATACAGGGTTAAAATATGATTTTATTTTGTATTTATTTTGATTCCTTACCAACTCCCAGGCAATATATTTATGTTTATTTTTTATTTGAGACTGAAAGTATTTAATGCCTAATAATCAAGTGCCCAAATTTAAAGATTAAGTAAAGCAGTTTTTTATTTTATAATTAGTAATTGTACGTTCCACTTTTAGACAATCATCAATACTTTAGACTGAGAAGGGGGCTCATGGTAAGACCAAATGATTTTTAAGAAATTA